TCCACTTGCTAGGCAATCTCAACCCTTGGACATGATAACCTGTGCAGACTCAAAACGAAAAGTGACTCATTGCTGAATATCAAGTACCGCCTTCCCGCAGTGTTCCACATTGCTTTGGTATGAGAGCACTGAAAGCGGAGCCGTCGATGTTTTAGAAATGTTTAAATTCAGAACACAAAAAGGATTGCTGGGATCACCAATTCGCTTCTCCTAGGCGACTTGCATGGATTTCCATACTCACTTCAGTTTCCATGCTGCTGGTGTACAGGATCAAGTCGCAAATGGCATACGCTCAAGAAAACAATTCTTGTTCTACTGTATTGGTGGGATTCTTGGTTCTTTCTAAGCCGTCTTACTGTGTGTAGTTCTTCTCACGTTTTCATTGTTGGCGACACTGTCAGATGATATTTTCCGAATGATTCTTGTGGTGGGCTATATAGCAAGCTGACCATCTTAAGATTTCATTTCGGCGTGTTAAAGTCCCTTTTCTTCTTTCGCATATGTTAATTGTCTTCAAACTTTGTCGACTTACAGAACTCTTAGACTGATAAGGATTTTTCAGCAGCCTCATCCCACCCTTAGAAAAATATAATTTTAAAATAATATTTAAAGTAGATCAATGCGTTATAAGTACTTTATGTAAAGAAATTTAGAGAAAATTATTGTATTTTTTATAAAACATTTTGCATAAAATTAATATCATTTACTCATTAATAGAATCAACTTGTGCTCTAGGTTCACCTAACTTTGCAATGTATTTAGTGACTGTGGCGTCTTTTCATTTTTTTCATACAAAACGTCGAAGTCTGGTCTAGCTTGGTGTTATCTACAGTGGCATTTCATATTCTGCGTTAATTTTTTATTTTATTTTTTTTTTGTTTTTGTTTTGTTGTTGTTGTTGTTTCCATTTACGCTGAGAAACAATTTTCTCTTAAATACGTTGTTGCAAATGGCATTAAACTGTTTGCAGCTGTGTAAGAAACTTCTGGTTATTCTGCATGAATCTGCAACCAAAAATGCGGGAGCTAGCTCTTGTTTAAATTTAGATTTCAACATCGAATCTGTTTGGTATGTCGATAAACTGTTTCTTTTCTTCTGAATCCTTCTCCAAACCCTCTGAATTATCCTTTCTTCTCCAAGCCCTCTGAATTATCCTTCCTTTTCCAAGCCCTCTGAATTATCGTAGCACTAGAATAGACATTTAATTCAGTCATGCTTTATACTTAGTGTTTTCTTCTCAGAAATATTCTTCTATAGTTTCTTTCAATTGTAGAATGTACTCCATTATATAATTTTTATCTCTTCAGTCTAAATGTAATGCATTTTCCCTTAGTAATGTCATTCATTTTCCCTGTTTAGTTTTGTAAAGCGTTGTAAATCATTCGCTTTGACATATGTCATTTGTCGAATTTTGATTTTCGCTCGCGGAGCCCCGGTGTCTGACTCCCGGAAACTCGGTGCTCTGCGGAACATAGTTCGAAAACCACTGGTATACATGATTGCATCAAGTGGTACTTTAATACCCGCACGATGTCAACGAGGTTCAGCTTGTTAAATTTGCCGATTCGCAATTGCAGTGCTCTTATGGGATATATGGACATCGCAGTAACGCCAAATTAAAATTATTAGCGTAGCAGCACGCACGCTAATCATCGACAAACTTTCGTGCTCGTGGCATATATTTGGTGAGCACTAACTTCATTGACAGCGAGAATACGAGATTCCTGTTTGTTACATCAATTTCGATACCTTAACCGGATTTTACCTCACTTTGTACCCTGATCACAGAAAACCTTTCCTAGAAGAAAACTGTTGTTACATGTGACTTTATTGGAAAGATCAATCCAAACATGTAAAATAGTTCAAGTATCATACAAAAAAAAAAAAAAAAAAAATTATATATAATAAAAATTCTGATGTGTACAACACATGACTTCCTTGTACGGAATATTAAATTATACGCATTTTTTCTTGCATTTCGTTTAAACTTATTGGATTGAACTAAATCTACTTCGCCGACAGCGCATAAACCACAATAGAATAAATGCGTTCTTTAAAATTCACTCTAGTATTTGTTTACCATAGCGACACTCTGGCGCTAGATTCACTTAACAGTATTATATTTCGTTCATATTATAACTCATAATGCACAAAATTTATATCATTTAAAGAATAGAATTATCTAATCGTTGCCACATGTTCTATTCAAATACTATAATAAAGCTAGAATGATGTATAAAAGAAATTAAGAAAACAAACAAAAAAGAAACAGTTTTTCACAGACGATTGAGTATTTCTCATTCAATTAATTCAGTTCTCACTTCGCGAGAAGGCAAAAATACATAAAAACTCAAAATATCTATATTAAAAATTACGAAGTAAATCTTAAACGCTTATTTCCTCGAAAAAATTCCAGAAAGGATTAAGCATGATTTAATTGGCAATAATAAATGAAGGCGTTATCTTTGTTGTTGCGAAGCTAAGTTTCTCTAGATTGGCAACAAATCCACTAGTCTGCTGTTTCAAATGTAAACAATCAATGGCCGCCATAAAAAAAGGCTTAGCGGCACTTAAACAACTTTAAAATTGTGATAATTCTAAAAATATTGCATACAGATTTACTAAAGGCATAAAATCCTTAACCGGAAGATAAAAACAACATAATTCAATCATTTTTAAAGCAAAAAATGTACAATTTACAAACATATAAGAGTAAAGAAACTGAGATCACTGAGCCGGGTAACAGAGTGGATATATATATAAATATATTTATATACGTTTGGTGCGGCCGATTGCAACCAAAATACGAGGTGCACATCTACATGTTATAGCAGTCCTATATACAAAATTTCAACGTTCTGAGGCTACTCGTTTTTGAGTTATGCGAGATACGTACGTACATACGTTCGTACAGACGCCACGAAAAATTCTCTTCAGAATTCATTTTAAAGCAGTTTTATAATTTTTTTGGAAGGAAAACGAGTCTTTTATTCTGTCCTTACGTACAGATATCACGCAAAAACATCGTTAAATTGCATTCGATAGCGGTCAAAATGGATATTTTCGTTGAAATATGCTGCCTGAAACTTTTCGCGATTACAATACTTCCTTTTTACTTCGTAAAAGGAAGTAAAAAGAACAAACATTTAAAATAATAAATGAACATGGGAACAAAAGTAAAAAGTTAAAAATCTAAACAACAATGAAAGGAACATAAGATATGTAGACTTTACAAGCAGTTCATGGAAGCTCTGGCATTCCAAGTATAGTTTACTTATCTCACCACGTTTCTGAGATTCTTTGTCTAATTCTGGGCATATAACAAGATGTTCTGCATTCATGATGCCCGAATTGCAAATCTGGCATATATTAAATGGAAGGATGACAATTTTATTAAGCTGATGTCCATGCAATCGTGGCCTGTTTGCAGTCTGAAGTTTGCCACAGCCTCTTTACGGGGTTTTGACAAAACTTTTTCCATGTGTCTCGAACGTTAGCCCTCGATTTTTCTGCTGATTTTGCTGCCTAATCAGATTTAAGAGTATCCATTAATTCCTCAAAATTATGCTTCTGAGAAGAAACCTTCTTAGGTAAAATATGATACTTTGGTTTCATGTGACTTTTATTAGGTATCCAATCAAAGGTAACTGCTACAGAATTTCATTATCTATACTCCAGGTCCATGAATTATCAGTTATTCGAATCGCTCATTCTTCTTTCGAAGCCCAGTTTATTTGTTTATATAACTGAATATGATAAAGCGTATGAGTGAAGGATGACCCTGTGGGAAATTTCTAAGAGAAAATGGATGCCCCTGTGGGAAATTTCTAAGAGAAAATGGTTCTTGTGTATGTTTTCTGCTAATGTATGAAAGCCACATAAAACTAATCCTTCTTCAGGACCTGAATCCAAGTATAACTGCCACAGTTGAGTGATCGACGGCTTCTAATGAACCTTAATTTTGTGGAACGCAATGTGTTTTGTATTGTCTTTAATTGATAAAAATGTTATTAGTTGCTTCGTGAACATTAAAATAATAAAATATATTTTATTACAATACAAATATTACTTGAATGGGCAACAGTTTCATATTTAAAGTTCTACTATAAGTTACGTAATCCGAATATTGTTGAACTTTTATTTAATTGGCTAAGGCTTATTAATATATATCCAGAAATTTTACATCTTTTTTTCAAGTACTGAGAACAAAGAACATTTTGCGAAACATCGGAAACCATGTTTATGAATAAATTTAGACATTATTTATTATATAATTATAATAATAACTATACAGAATGCGTTTGCATTAAAAATAGAAATTTGTATAAATTATTCTAAACGATTCTGGAATTCTATGGAAGTGGCATTCAATTCGAATGTTTATTTATGTTCTACATAACAAATACTGGTTACTCCAGAGAAGTTCGTCTAGGAAAACTGGTCACAGTGAAAAGTTTTGCTATGTTTTTTTTTTCCTGTTACCGATGTTCAATTATTTCGATAACTATTCTAGGACAGAATTCACTTAATATTTAAAAAATATAAATTTGATCCATACCTATTAGATGATGGCGTGTTGGATAGCTTCTTTTTAAGGTACTTAAACATAAATTTTTTGTATTAATTTCCTACTGTAAATCCTTAAAAATCTTTGTTCTCAAAATATTCTTTTTGCATTGAAATCTGTATGAATAATATTCTAATTTTTGATATGCATAAGCAAATATAATTTGTAAAACTTGTTAATTATAATATAGTTAATGATAAACTATTATTTTAAACAATTTAGATGAGCAGATGCACTTAACGCTTCGTTTTTCTTCCCCCGCCAACGGAAAATTAAGGGACCGTGTTTTCAAGATGAAACTGCAAGCTGCGATTTTGAAATCGACTGCGTTCTCATTTGGCATGACTTGGCGCCATTTCTGGCGTCATTAAACGCACGCCGCAGCACGTGTTTTTTACTGCAACCTGTTGAGCCTCACTTGGACTTCGTTCGCTCGGTGTTATCAGTTAGTGATGTATTTGGCTTATGCTGTCATCTATCAGGTAAAAAATTAGGTGGGTATTATTCAGTCTCCTTTTTTGCTGCCCTGAGTAACTGTTTCTGTCAATCGCGCTGCGTTTCTAAAAGAGTACTGGAGGCTTTCGGAATTTCGCTTTTTATTAAACGTTGACAGTGAAAATTTAATTGGATAAAACAAATCAGTGGATCATGGATACCAGTGAAAACACAGCAAAAATTGTGGATATGACGTACAAGGTATGTTCTTGAATTATTTTTTTTAATTGTGCGATCTTAAGTAACGTTCTTTCCATTTAGTTTCTCTTACAGCATGAGAACAGGTTTTCGGCATCTGTTGTTGTTCAGTACATTAGTTTGGAGCCGGCGCAAAATTTTGATTCATGAAACTTTTTTTTAGGATTGTGTGTGCGTGTGGGGAAAGTTTAAAACATAAAACGGAGAAAAATAAGTGAATAACGCTGCATTATATTTTGTTACTAATAATAAAAGTGATTTAGTTTGGTGTTTCATGATATTGCTGATAACTTCGTAATATTCCCTTTAATTTCGTTTCTGTGCTCAGCTTTACCTACCTGTGTTGTGAAGTGTTACTAGTAACGTTCTTTATTAAATTAGTCTATTAATGGGGCAAATTCCCAGTAGCTTTAAATTTCATTTGGCCTATTTTTTATATGCCCTGATCATTGTAATACTAATGTTTACAAACTGTAAAAGGCACTTTCGATTCCCATTGCTGTATTTTAAGTTTTATTATTGATTTGTAGCCGCATTGATTCCCCCTTTCATCTTTCTAAGTGAGAGGCTGTGTTTTGATTTAGTACCATTTTCTAAATTCAATCTTATTTTTTAAAAAGAAAATGTTTCCTTTAAAAAAATGTCGATAGTGAAGCCGACGTTTGCCATGTTTATAAGTATTTATTTTTATAATATATGTATATCATTCAAATTCCCATATTACTGATTAAAAAGAAGATATTTGATTTTGGTTCGTATTGTATTTCACTTTTTTCCAGTATTTTGGTATAATTATTTCATTAGAAAATAAATTTCCGTTTTTTACATACTAATAAAGTTCATATAAGGTTAGACATGAAAAAAAGGGCCATTTCTTTAGTGAATTTTGCTAGATATTTGATTTAATTGTTCCATATGTATAATTTGAAAAGATATTTAAACGTTTTCAGTTGTAACTTCTAATTTAAATTTTAATATTTAATTAAAAAATAAATAGCCTGTTTGTGTAAATTACATAGCGTGTTTTGATAATATTTTACATAATGTATATCTAAGTATTAATTTTTTTTCATAAGCTCCTTATATGTTTCGCATATGTGAATGTGGATTACTGGAATAGCCCAAGTTCCAACGAAGGTTATATGAAAATGCTCTTGTTAATGACCTTCCGATCTTGAAAAAATAAATCATGAATCGGCAGCACCAGTTTCAAAGGTTTCTTATGAAATGCAAGAAGCGATACATTTGTGTGATAATTTTGATTTGAAGGATTTATCATTGAGCGGTTTAAGCCGGCTGTAATCATTTCCGGATTCTACTCACGTAGTGAAAAAGAACTGTGTAATATATTCGCTTTCTCAGAATCACAATTGGAATAGCGTCAGTTAGCAAGAATTGGGTGTAACGTTTCTTTTATAAGAGAATTGTTTTCAATGAAGCATATTGGTAGAAAAAGGGAGTGCATCCTGTCGGACCTAATTTCCTGCTCATATCTGAAATTCAAAAATTTTATTAAGGCTCTGTAGCTTTAAAATTTCGAAAATGATTGTTATGGACTTTAAAAAAAGCTTAACTGAAGTAGAGACCATTTTAATTTTAAAACAAAATGTATATTTTGTTTTGATGATGATATGAAACCATTTTAATTTTAAAACAAAACATAATTTATGATATATGTAATTTTTTAAACATGCTTACGTTTATTTTAAATTATATAAATACGTCTTGAATCATGAAGCAATCAATGCCAGTGGTCTAAGACCGGCGGCTCCCGAAGCATTTTCCTGTAAATTAATTAGTATTATTATGGGAGAATTTGAAGAAAAGGTTTAGGATTTTGATGGTTTGGAGTACAATTTTATATTTTTGTTACCGAAAATTAACGTGAGTAACGCTTCGGAAAATCTATCTACAAATGGAGCTAGTTAATTTATGCTGTCATGTAAATCTTACTAAAAAATTTGAAGATACGAATTTGGTTAATTATTATTAACTTATCAAAAGAATCTTCAACTACGAATTTTTGAAATGAAAATAATCATTTTGTTTGGGAGTGCGTGTAAGTGTGTTGTAAACTTTGTGCTCAGTCAGTATATGGAATAATTTAATAACTTGAATGATAATTCCAGAATGGATTAAGCATATTGCAATTTTTGATTCACAATAATAAAAGAAGACGTTAGAGTTATAACATCAAAGCGAACTCTTTTTTTTTTTTTTTTTTTTATTTACGTTTTTTCTTGTTGCCAATCTAGGGAAACTAAACTTCGCAACAGTAAAGCTAGTACTGTATGTAGAGGGAGTTGCAACACATGTAAACATTTTTTTCCGAAGCTCAAAGTTAGATTTTTTAAATTTGAATTTTTCTTTGCGTCATTTTTACACTTCTGTTTTTAAAATTATGTAGTAAAAGGTTTTTAAATTTAGTAAACAGATTTTATTTAGGTTTTTCTTTTTATTATTACTATTGCTGCCCGTCAGCTATTTTTAGACCGTGTTAATTAGAGTTTGAGATTATACTGTCATAATACAGTGTGATGTTAAAGTAAAATGTTGGAGGAAGTATTCTACGTTATGTTTGTGTTAGAGGTGGGAAGATTAAATGGCTTTAATGTTTTAAAATCATTTATAGAATACATTTCTTTTATAGAATTTATTATATCATTTTCCTTTGTAGACTATATTTATTGTTTAAATACATTTGTGGAATGTACTACCTCATAGTATTTACAGAATTTAATTAAATTTTTTTTTTTTTTTTTTTTTTTTTTTTTACTGGAAGAGAAACAGTTTCAAATCCGTATCAACCATTAGGCGATAACATTTAACGGGTAAATAAATGGCAAGCCAAACGAACAGAAAATTGGTTGTATTATAAATCAAAATAAAAAAATGAACGAATATATTTTATTTAATACAAATTTTCAGATCGTCGTCGTAGCATGAAAGCACAGTACCAGTGATTTCTTACTGAAAAAACAGGCAGCTTTTGAGATCCTACAGAGATCATTTTTTTTTATATTAAATACAGCAGTGTGAGCTGTTTAATAATGATATAGATAGATATCCCAATTCATAGAAATGGAATTTGCATTAGAGCAGAAGCCGCAGATTTTACGTTAGGCGTGAATAGCGAGAGAACACTCAATTTGGAGATAGCTATTAATGTCAAACTGATAATGATGAAGTTATAGTTCTGATGTATTTCTGTGGGTTAATTAAGTTTTTTGGTCCGCAAAATTTGGCATTACTAATGGCTAGAAGAACTAAATTTTAGCCATTATTTATAAGCGTATGAATCAGTAGCGGAATCAGAAATATAAATTTTGCAGTGATGCAGTTCAGAAAGATTTGTAAGTAGTGTATTAATTATTTAAGAATAGAAGGTGTACTTATAAATGCTGTTGTTTAAGAACAGATCTTGCATTTATATATGCTGATAATCCATGCATATTATACATTCTATAAATGCATTTATATATGCTTATAAATGCAAGCTCTGTTCTGAAAGAGATTTATTCTTATATTTTATCTTACATTTATAAGTAAATATTTATTCTTAAATTTTTATCTTACATTTGTGAATAAATATTTATTAATTTGCGTAAATTAAAAATGACAGATGCTTCTGAACATACATTGTGCAGTTTCCTATATCTGGGATGGAAATTTGATTTGTAAGGAAGTTTTTTGGCAAAACATGTTGCGGTTAAAGAGAGACTGGATAAGAGGGATCCTAACTGTAATGTATACAGCAGGAGGGAGCTCTCAAGAGGGGGAAATTTCATAGTTTCGGGGGGGGTTGCTGTCAGTCAGTCTTTTATTTATCTGTTAAGTATTAAGTTGTAGTGTATGAATATCAGAAAACCGTTTTTATTCAAGTTGGTATTTATCAACATATTTTATGCTTTTTCTTGTTTAATTTATATAGCAAATAAAAAAATAATTTAAATAAATTGTATACATGTATTTTTCGATTTTTGTAAACGAGGAGGGGGAAAAGCATCATCTAGCGATGGTTAAAGGTGTGCACGGGGCAAAAAAGTTGAGAACCACTGGCTTGAGTACATATCAAATTTAATGACCTGTATTGAAAACAAAATTCTTATTCGCAGAATTGTAAATAAGAAAATTTGCTTTAAATTTAGTTCCATTTTCTATTGATTCCTGGGGGAGGGGGATTATGATTAAACTTGAAAGAATATAATAGTTTTTACACCAAGGTATAACATTCTGAGAAATTCAAAGATGCTGTCATCATTCAGTTTTATATTACTGCTCACTTGCTAGTTGTACAAGTTATTTACAGAAAATAGTATGTTCATAAATGAGATATTTTTAACTGCAGAACCCTTTTTATCCAAATATACTTCTTCACGGAATGAAAACCAAAGATCCGGTTATGACGCTGCCATTAATCCTGCAATTTGTTTTCCATTGACGTATACAAGCTATTCTATTTTCTTAGTTTTCGGCAAAGTGGAAACTTTTATATCGATATGTTCAGATTCATCGGATCATATGTCCAGATAAAAGTTTCCTACATGGATTTTGTCATGCATTAAGTAATTTTCAATAATAGATTAACTGTCATCACCATAAAAAATGACAGCCGCTTTAGTCATAAAATCAGTCAATATTTGTGGTTTGTTATTTATATTTATCAAAATTGGATATGGATTTCCTGTTGTGTGTAAAATCATAAGACGTATGTTAAACTCAGATTATCGCATTGCCATGAATCATTAGTTTCCATATGCGTTATCTTTTTTTTAATGCAAAACGTATAAGAACATGCTTTGTGCATGTTTCGAAATTTAAATAGGAGAGAGAGACGAGAGGGAATGTAGTTTTAAATTTTTGTGCAGTACATTAATTACAAAATATCGTGTAGGGGATAAAGATTACAGCGATGGGATCTTAGTTTACACTCATTTATTTTACTGTACGCTTGCAATTCAATTAGTAATCAAGAACATCCAAATTTCGATGCTAAAATAGTT